GCTTGCTGCTCTTCATCCGCTGGCACGTGTCGCATGAGGTGACGAACTGCTGCACGATCTAGGATCGAGCTCAGAAAAGAGAATTGTAATTGAATGATTCACCTGGGTACAACACGAGGCTATATATAGTCTCGACACAAGGCCAGTTACCCAGGTGTTACGCGATTGTTCTGAGGGTCGCGAAGCGTCCCCAACAGAACCTTCCCGAACTCAGTAGAAAGCAATTCGGTGGAAACCGAATAGGCTTGAGTTCGGTACACGTAACCTGGTTCGGTGCTATAACTATGATAAAATATAGGAATGCACCTAACCTAGGAAATCAAGCATATCTATGCATGATAAATAAAACACAAGCTAGATATAGCGTAATAAAGTCTAGGCAAGCTAGCAAAGCCAGCATAAGCCGTCGTACTCTCACACGCGGACAAATCCAGCTGGAATCACACGACACTTGCTACTGCATCCACATCAGTGACGTCCTCATCGTGCCCGAGCTACAATACAACCTCCTGTCCCTCGACCAGCTGATGAAGTGTGGCGTCGACCTGCAAACAACGGAAAATGAACTTCATTTAACATACAACGGCATCTTCATCAGAAAACCGACAAGCGAAGGAGGAGTATTTGTCCTTGACTTCGAATCACCCAAAACCTCTAGCGACAACCACCACATCCTCGTTCTTGATCCGCCGGGCCACCCGTCACCACCAAGGTGGTGTCACCCAGAAGAAACGGACTACCAACGCCCGAGGCTCGATGGAACCTTCCGCGCTCATACCGTACCAGTCGCCTCGACCACGAACCCTCCAGACACAGGACCACACGCGAAGGAGGAAGGAGAAGAAATCACATCAGAAACAGCACCCACAACATCAGAGGCGGCAACCACAGAATTTGGAGGATGGGCACGAGCAATCTGGCCCCGTGTTCAACAACCTACCGGCTGGAACACCACTGCAGGCTGGAACACGACAGACACACGCTGGGTCGCCGAAAACACCGCGATGGGAGAAGCTGTTGCAGCTGAAACAGGATGGGGAAATGTCGTCGCAGGACCTGCAACAAAAGGAGAAACGGTAGAAGTACCAGAAGTCACTGAGGAAGCACCAGAAGCAGAGGAAGAAGAGTCACTAACAGAGTACGACCCTCATCTCATTCCTCCGCATCGAGACAAGGGGAGCGACGATTGGCGACACCGACTTCGAAGAAGGAGAAGTCACGCAGCCGGAAGATGGTCACTTATGAATCACGCCGCCACCTCCCGAGGGACCATTGGAGCTCCCAGTGGCGATCGACACTTCCACCATCGGCGATACCAGCGGGACATACCACGGCGCGACACTCCAAGCAGCGGCAGTTCAAGTCACTGTACCCGACGAACCTGCGGAACAAATTGGGAAGGAAACCGCAGAAATAATATTAGCACAGGAAAAGGAGCTTTACGCACGCACAAAGGGATATCGCGTCGACGGAGACATTTGGCACCAACGTTTCGAGCACCCATCAATTGAAGTGCTCAACAACTGCATCAACGCAAACGTTTTTGCAGCAGACGCACTGTTGCTGCCCGATGGAAAGCTGCTCAAACCAAGAACCGACTTACCACACTGCACCATCTGTCCAGCAGCCGCGTTGCGTCACACGCCCTTCGCCGAAAAGATACCAGGAGCTGAACACTATAAACCGCTCGAGAAGGTCTACAGCGATTTCCTGGTGCTCACGGCGAAAAGAGTTGGAGGGGAGCAGTACACACTTACCTTCATCGACGCCGGCACACGCTTCGTCTGGGCCGTGAACGTCAGCAACCGCTATCTTTCCTACCAGTGCTTCGAAGTTTGGTTGAGCATGGTGGAGACTCAGAGCGAGGGACAGAAGCTAAAAGCATTCCAAACGGACGGGGCCCTGGAGTACCAGACAGAGGAGTTCAAAACCCTCTGCAAGCAGAAGGGGATCCAGAGGATGCTTTCTCTCCCCTACACTCACGAGCAGCAGGGATTGGCGGAGCGGACCAACAGGAGCCTCGCGACAAAAATGCGAGCCCTCATGAAGCAGTCAGCTGTGCCAACGAAATACTGGCCCTTCGCAATGGTACATGCAGTTCGCTTGCATAACATGTTTTCTTTGAAAGCACAGCCCAACAACACCTCACCTTTCAAAGAGTGGACCGGAAAACACCCCAACACTCGCATGCTGCGGGTCTTCGAGTGCCTGGTACAGTACCGCCCCCACACTGCCCGGACCGGAAATTTTGAAGACCGCGCCCGGTGGGCCATTTGAAGTAACAAGCAGCTGGTCGAGCCCACCACTGTTCGCCAGGCTCTTAGCGGGCCCGATGTCGAGAAGTAGAGAGCAGCCATGCCCGCAAAAGTCGCTGCACTCCAGCGTCGTGGCACCTGGAAGCTGACATCGCGACGATATGCGAAGGGGAGGAAAATTATCACAGGGAAGTGGGTTTTCAGGATCAAAACTCTCGCGGACGGAAATGTTGACAAATATAAGGCACGATGGGTCGTCCGCAGCTTTGAACAGAACCAGTTTGTGGATAACAATCAAATATTTGCCCCGGTCGAACGACATCTGTGCGAGTCCTCCTCTGCGTCGCAGCTGTGAAACAGCGTCCACTGCGGAAAATCGATGCATCGAACGCATTTCTCTACGCAATCGTCGACGCCATCATCTACGTCGAGCAGCCGCACGCCTTCGAGGAAGACGGCGACGCTATCTGCCTACTCCAGAAGTCGCTGTACGGCATCAAGCACGCGCCACGTCTGTGGCAGCAATACCTCTGCACCGTGCCCTCGAGCTCGGTTTCCAGCAGCTTCCCCACGACCAAGGGATGTACCGCCTGAATCCCGCGGCCACTTCATCTTGTTCGTCACCTACGTGGACGACCTGCTCTACACCGGAGACAACACGGAGCTGCTCGATCGCTTCGAACACAACATCAAGGAGAATCTAGAAGTGACCATTGATCACAATGTCACCCAGTTCCTCGGCCCCAACGTCACCCAAACTACCGACACGATCCACCTCTCCGCCGCGAAATACACCGAAACCCTTGCTAAGAAGTTCAGCATTGCTCCCGTCGGCATCACCACCCCATTCCGCACTCCTCCGCCTAATCATGAGCCCGACACCACGCCACTCTCCCCAGGTGATCATCACCTCTATCAGCAGCAGCTCGGCTGTCTAATGTTCGCCGCCATCACATGTCGCCCGGACCTATCTTTACATCGCCAGCCAGCTCGCCCAGCATCTGCGCCAACCTGAAGGGGAGAACATGGCAGACATGCGACGCGCCTTACAGTATTTTGTCTCTACGCCCGATGTCCGCCTCACCTACAAGGCGAACCTAACGGCTACTTTACAACTTACCGGCTACGTAGATGCTGACCATGCTGGGGATACAAACAACAGAAGGTCCGGCACAGGCTTCATCTTCAAACTTGAACCTGCAGGAACCATCTCATAGAACTCACAGAAGCAGGAGCTCATTGCCCTTTCGTCATCAGATTCAGAAGCCATCGCAGCAAGTGCAGCAGTTCGCGAAGGACTCTACCTCACGGAGCTCCTACAGGAAACGAACACGGCGATGAGCAGGTCCTTCAAGTTACTCTGCGACAACCAGAGTGCGATCAAGATCGCAAACAAGCCGGGCTTCGTTTATCACTCGAAACGCATCGGCCTGTGTTACTTATTTGTCAAGGATGAAATTGACAAGGGAAAGGTCCAAATTACCTACTGCCCAACTGGCGAGATGGCAGCTGATTTTCTGACGAAGAAACTGCTAGGTCGGAAATTCCAGTACTGCTCGGACCTGTGCGGAATCGTTCGAAAGAGCCACGTGGCGCACCTGCAGGAATGAAGGGGGTCTTGGAAAATGAAGGGAATTGAGTTTTGCATTCCTTAGGTGCAGCTGTCATTATCGAAGCAGCGCTAGCATCAGTATCAGATCAGCCCGTATCAAGGGCAAGAATGTCAACAGTCGCAAGAGTCAACTATCGCGACTGTTGACCATCTGGATCGACGATTGGCTCACCATCGAGGAATGGCAACAAGCGTAACCGTCTGTACGGTTACACGCAGCGAAGAAGAAGTGTAATAGTCAGAGTCACTGTAGAGTTGCCTGCAAAAGCAGTTAGAAGAAGGGAATGTACCCCTCATAGTACATGATTAGCTAGATCTATTTATTATGTGTGTATTCTATGTTTTAATCAACTTTGTCATCTACATTGGTTATGATCAGAGGTCCTACCACAAAGACTTCCGCTACCAAACTCTCTAGGCAATCCTATACTATCCAATATCCTCACTTCAACAATTTGGTTTCACCTTTTTTTGAGTCTCTTGTGTATCAGTGCGTCATCTCCACACATTTGGACCACTCGTTCTCAAAACGTTAAAGCGAGTGCTTCAGACGTGGGGAAAATGACAAAAAAACGCACTGTTCATATGAGTTCCCCGAAAAAGGGGAAAACCAAGTGTTTAGGGTTGCTACACAACCCAAAAATCACTCTTGAAATGATATCCCCCAAAAGTGAAATAAATTATATAGGGTTGCTACGCAACCCTATATAGGATTTTTTCCTTACAATATAACAGTTCCCACAATCACGAAAGAGAACGCGCGCGCGTCTACCACACCCGCGGCAACCCCCAGGCCCGCCTTGAGAACCCGCTTTCTGCGGCACCAACTACCCCTTCACCCTCCCCATCCCGCTCGCTGCTCCCGCTGCCCCTTTCAGCTGCAGTTGTGCACCAGCCATCCCCACGCTGCATTGTGCCACCCCCCCATAGTCACACACCGTCGCGAAATTCTCGCGGTGATCACGGGTGCTTGTAACTAGGGTTAGTAGGGCGTGGCATTAGCCAGCTCACTCTCCTCGGGAAATCTCCATAAGTTATTATCGCGCTATATAACTACAAGGCTGGTCGTCGTTTAGCACCTGCGCCAAGGGCCCACGATGCTGGTGTGCTAGTGTACGCGTTATAAGCCAACAATGGCCGGCGCGGAAAGCCGGCCGCCGCCCAGGCGGGTGCATCTGCAGCAGCAGCCGCTGGTGGTTACCACCACCGTCATCCAGGCCGCCGCCGTGCTGATCATGGTGAGCCGCGCACGACCGCGCTGATTGTAGCACGTGGCGTTGATTGTTGCTACGTGGCGTTTGTATCAAGTGTTGTTGATTATAACGATACGTGAGGGGTTGATAATAACGAGTCCAGTCGGCATCGACCTCCGATATTTCCGCTAGACTATCCCAGCGAGGCAATGCACGCACGCGGCGATGACGGTGATCTCAACGGGCATTTTCTTAGGCAGTCGTGATTATAACGAGTCGCGTCAGATCGCGCGCTTCCCGGGTGGACTCCAGCAGTCGGCAATTCGCGCAACGAGCAGCGCACACCTCCCTGAGCACCCCACAATGAGCGGCGGCATCCCGCTGTTGGCGCCGCTGAGCACCCCGCTGCGCACCCCGCTGGCGGCCCCACCGCTCCGAACAGCACTTGAAAACCTGTCTTGCGACCGCGTTTGGTGGTCGCTCCGGGCAGGGTGGGGCGTTGACATGTCCGCACGGGGGTTGATAGGCGGGACACGCGGAGACTGCTGCCTCGCGCTACACACTCGCAACGGCGCGGCTGTGCGCGTGGCAAAGGAGCCAGTCGGGGGGGAGAGCGCGGGGGCACGAGGCGGAGGGCGTCATCGCAATGGACCGTGAATTCTCGCGCCGCTTCTTGCCCCACCTCCTCCCCACTGCCCTCTCCCTTCCCTTCGTCTCCGAACGTCGTCCTCCCATTCCTGCCCCATTCCCCCTCGCCCCACTCCCCGCCCCCCACCCTCCCCCCTACCTCCCCTTTTCCGCTCCCACCTCTCTCCCCCTCGCTTCCCCCTTCTCCCCCTCGCTTCCCCCCACTCCCCTTGCCCTCCCCCCCTCCTCCCCCCTCCGCGCGCAGTACATGATGGTGGCGCGGCACCTGTCCAGCAAGATGACTTTTGAGTCGACTCAAGATGTCATCCCCCACTCCCCCTGCCGTCCCCCCCTCCGCGCGCAGTACATGATGGTGGCGCGGCACCTCTCCAGCATCGAGCAGATCGTTGTGGCGCTCACAGAGAGGTAGGGCGCAGAGAGGTAGGGCGCAGAGAGGTAGGGCGCAGAGAGGTAGGGCGCAGAGAGGTAGGGCGCAGAGAGACATGAGCAAAAATTCGAACCCCTGTTCGGTTCGACTCAAAAGTGTTCGACTCGAACGTGTTCGAGTGGTTTTTTTGCCCAAAATTGTTCGTGACGAACACCTTGGTGTTCGTCACAAACACGTTCGACTGTTCGAGTGTTCGTGTGCAGAAAAATGCACGAACACCTAGGTGTTCGCGAACACAATGTGTTCGTCACAAACACCTAGGTGTTCGTGCATTTTTCTGCGCGTCAAAGTTTGACGGGCTGGTTGGATCTAAAAGGGGAGGGCGACGACGACTGAGCTCAAGAATTAGCTCTATCGTCGATATAGCCTAAGGATGACATTCCGCCCCCTACCCACTTAAACTAACACATTTCCACGGTTAAAATTCCACATTGTGGCTGCAAACGTTAGGTATAAGGTTGGATTAGGGTAGGAGACGGTTAAAAAAAGGAACTAAGGGCATTACGGTTTATGTTGGAGTTTAGCAGGGCAAAATTGGATATCCACCAGATCTGCACCAAGCCTAACTATATCTCTTGTAGGGCTATAGGGAACGTGATATTGTTTCTAGTACACTCGCCCTGCCTGAGTGTGACTATACTGAAAGAACCCCCCAAGGCAAACTGTTCGAGTTCGGGTCAAACACCTTAGTGTTCGGCCTTGCCTCAAAACTGTTCGACCCTATACTCGAACAGGGAACACTAACATTTAAGAAAATTGTTCGAGTCAAACGTGTTCGGTTCGGTTCGAACTGACCAAGTGTTCGCAAACTGTTCGAGACAAACGTGTTCGGTTCGCTCGTTGCTCGCAGAGAGGTAGGGCGCAGAGAGGTAGGGCGCAGAGAGGTAGGGCGCAGAGAGGTACGGCACAGGGAGGTATGGCGGGCGGCACAGAGAGGTACGGCGCTTAGAGGTACGGGCATGGTGTGGCATGGCATGGTATGGCATGGGGTGGCATGTCGTGGCATGGTATGGCATGGGGTGGCATGGCATGGCATGGGCTCCCATGTGATTCCATGCCCTCTTTCCCTCTGCTCCTTCCTTCCCCCCCCCTGCCACTGCCTTCCCTCCTATGCGGCCCCTCTAACCCACAGCATCACACATCAGCAGCAATAACACGCACCCCGCAGGCCCGTCAGCAACGGTGTCGCTTTAATCAACCACGCCACGCCCGTCGTCATCATACCTCATCTCTCCCCTCCCCCACCCCCTCCCCACCCCACCTCCCTCCTCCCCCCTCCTCCTGGCACCTCCAGCATAACGGAGCAGGCGGGCAACGAGGCGCATGACATGCGCGTGCTGGTGGGCGCACTGGAGAACCACACTCTCTCCGTCGCCACCGCCCTCACCGACCACGTTGCCCTGCAGACCGGTTAGTGCTGCACCGCACCGCACTGCACCCACCCAGTGGCGAGGCGAGGGTCCATTGGTCAGTCAACATTCACTCATGCAGCGCTGCAGACCAGAGGTTCCCCAGTCAGTCAGTTAGTCAGTCAGTCAGTCAGTCAGTCAGTCAGTCAGTCAGTCAGTCAGTCAGTCAGTCAGTCAGTCAGTCAGTCAGTCAGTGACCAGTCAGTCAGTGAGAGCCAGTGAGTCAGCGAGTGAGTGAGTGAGTGAGTGAGTGAGTGAGTGCGTGAGTGAGTGAGTCAAGCATCGTGGCACAATGCTTGACACGTGGCACGATGCTTTTGCTTCATGCGTGCATCCATGGCCTTGATTGTGTGTGTATCGTGCTTCTGTGTGTGCGCGTGTGTGCATGTGTGTCATACTTGTCTGTATTTGCCCCTGTACATGTGTCTGGCTCTCTCTCTGTCCCTATCTCCCACTGCCTGTCTCCCACTGCTTGTCTCCCACTGCCTGTCTCCCACTGCCTGTCTCCCACTGCCTGTCTCCCACTGCCTGTCTCCCGCTGCCGGCCTGTATCTGTGTTTTGTCTGTACTTTGTGTGTGCTGTGTCCTTATCTTTGTGCGTGTTTGTATCCGTGTTTGTACGTCCGCGCACGTGCGCGCATGGGCGTGTGCGCGCATGCGGCATCATCGCCAGGTCAGCTGCGCCAGCTGGCATCGGAGATCCGCAATCACAGCGCCACGGTGCAGACGCACGTGGCAACAGCCGTGGACGCCATGGGAGGAGGGGCGGAGGGCGGGGGCGATGTGACTAAGGAGAAGCTGGCGGTGCTCATCTCCGCGTCCGCTCGCTCCCAGGTGCGCCCCCCGCATGCATCCATCGTACGGCGGCGCCCTCAACCAACGCCGCGCAACAACTCTGGTGCTTGTCACTCACACCTCATCCGCCCCACCGCGCCCCCCTCGTCCCTTACTCCCTTTTCCTCCCTCTCCCCACCCCACCCCCTCCCCCGTGCCCACAACGGCACACAGTGTGGTGCTGCTGTGCTGCTGCTGTCTGTGCTGCTGTGTGTGGTGCTGCTGTGCTGCTGCTGTCTGTGCTGCTGTGTGTGGTGCTGCTGTGCTGCTGCTGCTGTGTGTGGTGTGGTGCTGCTGTGCTGCTGCTGCTGTGTGTGGTGTGGTGCTGCTGTGCTGCTGCTGTGCTGCTGCTGCTGTGTGTGGTGTGGTGCTGCTGTGCTGCTGTGTGTGGTGTGGTGCTGCTGTGCTGCTGTGTGTGGTGTGCTGCTGCTGTGCTGCTGCTGCTGTGTGTGGTGTGGTGCTGCTGTGCTGCTGCTGCTGCTGCTGTGTGTGGTGTGGTGCTGCTGTGCTGCTGCTGTGCTGCTGCTGCTGTGTGTGGTGTGGTGCTGCTGTGCTGCTGCTGCTGTGTGTGGGGCTGCCACTGACCCACGGGCAGTGTAAGACAGAGCTTCTCTCCAGCCTTCTCGTCCCCTCATCCTTTGATCCCCCTTCCCCGCTGCCCGCCCATGTGCTGCTGCTGCTGCTGCTGCTGCTGTTGGTGGTCGCGAATGTCCCCCTGGCAGCGCAAGACAGAGGCGTTTCTCTCCAGTCTGCTCAGCTCCGTCAAGGCGCTCTCCAAGCAGATGGAGGTGGGTGCTGTGCGGTGCGGGAAGATGCAATGCAAGTGGTTGAGTGAGGCCAGCAGTGGAGGGGTGCCCACGACACGAATCATCGCATGGCATGCCAGTTTCATTGCACGCATGCACGCATGATGCTCTTGTCATCGCCCGCCAGATTTCTCAAACCTCAGCTCACATCTCCCACACCCTATGTGTTGCCTGGCGCGGCACGGCACGGCACACTGTGATCCGCCTGCCACGGCACGGCACGGCACGGCACGGCACGGCACGGCACGGCACGGCACGGCACGGCACGGCACAGGAGCAGGGAGGGGCAGGAGGGGCAGCTGGCGGCGCAGCGGGCTTGATGGGGGTGAGAGAGGCGGCCGCGGCTTCCAGGAAGCAGCTGCTGGCCCTCAAGACGCTGCAGGTGTGTGTGCTGTCGTGCTCTTGCTGCTGCTGTGGCTGCTCCTTTGTACTCTGCCCATCTCTTACAGTCACATTATGGTTTGAATTCTGTGGCATGCATGCATCTGGTGTGATGCGATGGGATGCGATGTCATGTGATGTGAGCATGTGAGCAGGAGTCAATGGAGGACCTCAAGTCAAGGCAGTCAACGACAGACTACTCCCCTCAGGTACTTCCTCAGGTGCTCCCCCAGGTGCTCCCTCAGGTGCTCCCTCAGGTTCTCCCCTCAGGTGCTCCTCTCAGGGTAGACATGACTCATGAGTGAAGGACCCAGGCGAGTAAAACTGCCCTTGTTATTTGCAATACTCACTTGAGCACCGAGGCAAGTCGAGTAATACTTGGCCGAGTTTGCCCTGCACGTGCTTTCCTCAGGTGCTTCTCACAGGTGCTTCCCTCAGGTGCTTCCCTCAGGTGTTTCCCTCAGGTGCTTCCCTCAGGTGCTTCCCTCAGGTGCTTCCCTCAGGTGCTTCCCTCAGGTGCTTCCCTCAGGTGTTTCCCTCAGGTGTTTTCCTCACGTGCTTCCCTCAGGTGCTTCCCTCAGGTGCTTCCCTCAGGTGCTTCCCTCAGGGCGGGGTTGTTGAGTCTAGCCACTGGCCGCAGTGGTGCCTCTCAAGAGGGGCCAGGGGAAGGACACGCATTCTGGCAGTGCTTAAAGCCCAGCCCAGCCCCCGAGAGACCTTCACAACCTGGATCCAGTTTGTGTCTCGCTCCTACTGGTTTCGGGAAAGAAATGCTTAGGGGAGGTTTTCGAACCTCAAATCTCTGGTTTCCCAAACCTATTTGCGCTAACTTCGGTTGAGTAATTCGGGTGTTGCCCTTTAAGGCGCTGCTACCACACAACATGGCTGCCATGCCACGGCCAACACAAGCCCGAGTCTGCAACTGCCCAGGGCGGCTGGACTGGGGTGCACGTGTGCCTCCTCACTCTCCTCTTCCCCACCCCTCGCCCCTCCATCCCACATCCCCCCCTCTTTTCTCGGGCAGCTCATCTGCATTCGGGCAGTGCTCAAGGCGCTGGTGGCGCACATCAAGGCCGCCGCGGCCAACGGCGGGCTGGGGCTGGGCCTGGGCGCACATGTGTCTACTCACTGCCCTGTCTCCCTTTCCCACCCACCCCCCTGCCCCCTCCCCTCTCCCCCTCCCCTCCCTTCAGCTCATCCGCATTCTCGGGGTGCTCAAGGCGCTGGTGGCGCACATCAAGGCGGCCACGGCCAATGGGGGGTTGGGCCTGGGACTGGGCGAGCAGCTGCCGCAGCTGCCGTCTCTTGACATGGATGTGAGTCACCTGGAGGCAGTGCCAGTGAGGGAGTCAATGGGGGTCAATGTTGGTCAACGGGGAGTCAATGGGGGTCAACTGGGAGTCAGTGTATGTCAATGAGGGTCAACGGCGGGCTGGGCCTGGGGCTGGACATGGATGTGAGTCACCTAGAGGCCGTGCCAGGGGGGGTCAACACTGGGGGTCAACTGGGCGTCAATGGGGGTCAACTGAAGTCGATGGGGGTCAACACGAGTCAACGAGGGTCAATAAGGTCAATGGGGGTCAATGCGAGTCAATGGGGGTGTCAATGAGAGTCAAGATAAGTCATCGCAAGAGTCATCTGCCGCTTTTGAGTCCGCTCGTAACTCATCTCCCTCCCCCGTCCTTTCCTCCTTCCCCTGCTCTCCCCCATATTTCCCACTTCGCCACGTCTTTCCCCCCTTCTCCCCCCCCTCTTTCCCCCAATACAGCTGCAGCCGCAGGCACAGGTGTCAGCGCAGCAGGCGCAGCAGATGGAGCGGCTGCTGCAGCAGGTGCTGGCGGAGGTGCGCAACGGAACGCACCTCACGCTGCTGCTGCGCGCCGTCTCCACGCAGACCACCATCCTCTCGCGCCTCGCCAAGCGCTTCTCCTCGCTCCAATCAGCCGCCTTCTCAGCCACCACTGCCGCCACACCCCCGCCTGCTGGCCCTGACTCTGCTGGTGGCGGTGGCGGGGCGGCGTTCAAGTCCCTGCAGGGGCTGGTGGCGATGGTGCTGCAGAACTCCCAGAAGCACATGTCGGCGCTGCGGGATGTGAAGCGCATGCTGACGGGGGAGGAGGCGGACGGCAAGGGGGGGTACTCGGTGCCGGTGAGGACGCTGGCCGTGGTGCAGGAGAGCGCCCGCGCGCTGCAGCAGATGCCCGCGCTGCTCATGCAGCTGGACCGCCGGCTGCAGGGCGTGGGTGGCGGGGCGGGTGGAGGTGTGGCTGGGGGAGGAGGGGGAGGAGGAGGAGCGAGGGCGGAAGGGGTCGTGGTAGGGGGAGGGGGAGCAGGCACAGGCATGCGGCAGCAGCAGCAGGGGCAGGTGGTATCGGCGATGGAACCCCCGAAGCTGAGTGGCAGGGCAGCACGGCACGAGCGGCTGAAGCAGCTGATGGCGAAGGAGGCTGCCGCCCGCGCCGCCAAGCAGAAGGAGGAAGAGGCTGCAGCAGCAGGGAAGGCGGCGGCGGCGGCGGCGGCGGCGGCAGGGGACACGCAAGGAGAGGGAGCAGGCGGGCAGAAGGAGGAGGGGGGCCAAGAGCAGCGCACGGTGGAAGGGGCAGGGCAGCAGCAGCAGGAGCAGCAGCAGGGAGGAGTGGCGGCAGGTATGGGCGCGGCAGGAGGGGCAGGCGCTGGGGGGGGTGGCGGAGATGACAGGGGTGGGGGCGAGCAGGGGCGAGTGGTGACTCAGCAAGGAGAGGGAGGACGTGAGGGGAGGGGAGGCGGAGGGATGGGAGGAGAGAAGACTGGAAGGAGAGCAGAGGAGAATACTGGTGGGCGCGAGGGGGAGACGAGGGCAGGTAGCGATGGTGCTGTGAGTGCTGGTGGTGGTGGTGGCAGTAATGGTGCTGGTGATCGCTCTGCTGGTTCCGGTGCAGGTTCTGCCGCTACCGCTGATGGTTTGGAGAGAGGGCAGGGCGGGGGAGAGGGGCGAGCGGGAGGTGGGGATGCTGGAGGGGCGGAGCAAGAGGGAGGAGAGGCGAGGCGGGTCAGCGGAGGAGAGGGGGGTGATGGGGAAGGTGGCGTGGATGGCGAGGGGGGGAGAGCTCAGGGGGCGGCTGGGGAAGGAGATGGAGGAGGGGAGGGGGGAGGGGCTGGAGCAGGTGGAGGGGGGGGGAAAGCAGCGTCTGGAGGTGAGGAAGGAGAGGGTGGAGGGGAATCAGAGGGGGGAGGGGAAGGAGGGGGAGCAGGGGGAGAAGGGGGCGCAGGGGGGGGGAGGGGGCGCAGGGGGAGTGGTGCCGATAGAGTGGGCGAAGCCGGAGGAGATGGACAGCGAGAGGGCTGACCTGGTGTCGATGCTCAAGGCGCGCAGGGACGAGGCGGGCGAGCGCGGCAGCGAGGACAGCGGCGTTAAGAGTGGTGGTGGCGGTGAGGCGGTGAAGCACCGGCGGAAGAGGAAGAAGCACAAGGGTGGGGAGGGGCGTGGTGCGGTGGGAGGCGGTGGGAAGGGAGAGGGGGAGATGAGTGAGGAGGAGAGGGCGATGGCTGAGGCGAGGATGGCTGTGAGTAGAGAGAGAGGCGAGGATGAGGAGGAGGAAGAGGAGGAGGAGGGGGAGGGGGAAGGGGAGGAGGGAGAGGAGGAGGGGGAAGAGGGAGAGGAGGAGGGAGGGGAGGACGAGGAGAAGGGTGGGGGGAAGGGAAAAGGTGAGGGTGGGGTGAAGAGTGGGGTTGGACGCAAGAGGAGGGTGGCTGGAGGTGAACGTGGGGAGGCGGGGAGTGGAGAGCTGAAGGAGAGGGGGGGGAGGAGAGGAGGGGAGGGAGAGAGCGAGAGGAGGCTGGGAGAGGAGGGGAGGGGGGCACAGGGGGGAGGGGCACGAGGAGGAGGGGGAAATGGCGGAGGAGGGGTAGGGGAAGGAGGAGGAGGGGAAGGCTCAGTGGCAAGGCAGGGCAGGAGGAAGCGCATTCCGATGGAGCAGGCGGAGGAGCAGCAGAGCATGGGGGCGGGGGCACGCACGGGGCTGCGGCTGAAGAGCATGGGGATCGAGGAGCTGCTGAGCCTGGAGGACGAGGAGGACGACGAGGAGGAGGGCGCAGGGGGAGGAGGGGGAGGGGGCGGAGGGGGAGCGGGAGGGGGTACAATGGGACGAATGGGCGGGGAAGGGGGTGTAGAGGTGGCTGGGGAGGGGGGTAGGAGCAGTGGTTGGGGGGAAGGGCGAGAAGGCCAGCAGGGGCAGGGGATAAAGATGGGAGTAGGGGGGCGCGGAGGGGGAGTGGGGGCAGCAGCGAGGGTGGGCAAGGCGGTGTTGGATGACGTGGAGGGCGAGGAGGCGTGGACGGAGCCACTGCCCACACAGGGGTACATTCCCCAAGGGCCCTTCGCCAGTGAGTGTTGCGGCTTTGCCCCTGCCCATCTCCTCTTGCTGTCCCTCGTGTTTCCCGTGCCTTCCGCCAGACATCCTTCCTTCCCTCCCATAACAGCCCCTTTTACCATCTTCCCTTGACCTCCCTCCCCCCAACGCCTGTGGACCCATTAGACGCGTCGGAGTGGAGGCAGCGTGTGTTGGCAGGCAACTCGGTCTTCACCCGCTTCAGGTATAAACATAGAAACTATACATCCCCGCTATTTTTCGGGTGCCATTGAAAACCACCCATCCTTAAAGCTCCGCAGAGAGTCTCGTGGCCCCTGCTCCGTGCCCCTTGCTCCCTGCTCCCTGCCCCCTTGTCCCTGCCCCCTTCCCCTTGCCCCATGCCCCATAACCCATGCCCTGTTCCCCATGCTCCGTTTCTTATGTGTTAGCATCAAGTATTGAGTCTGTAGATTAGAGGCCCAAAATATCTCAAATCGTTGAACCAAGTTTCTGGACAGAAACGTCAATTTTACAAGAAACGCAGCTGACAAAAAACACACCGTTAGAACTTTACCCAAATCGACTATGTTGTAGCCCTAGACCGTCCATTTTCAATTTGAATCGCATTTAAAGAGAAAATGTTTCTCGAGATATGAGTTTCGACGTACCGATGGATGTGCTGTAGGTGAAACTTAACTCAAACTTAATGTTCAACCAAGATCCAGACAAGGAAATGGAGGAGGAATAAACCAGGTGAGAGAACGAAAAGAGGACAACAGAGAAGGTCCCCAGGGAGTCATCAACCAAGAAACCCCATAACCACACAAAATCTCCTTCCTATAATAATTCAATTTTCATGCTTGACATTTTTTCCTGACTCATGCAAGCCACCTCATTCAAATTGGTCACAGTTGTCAACCTGGTTTGGTTTCTCCCATCCACTTGGCAGCAACTACAGTGAGGCGTTAAATTATCCCAACTAATAATGGTCTATTACCACAAAGAGTAACCTCACAAATCCCCATAGTCGACGTAACGATAACTTAAAAGCATACGATCTCTGATCGTTCGTATCTTTGGTTCGCCGGTTGAAACGATCTTTGGTTCGCCGGAAGGGTTTTCGGCAGAGAAGTCATTTCAGATATCTGCTCAGACAATATGAAATTCAAACACACTCACAAATTCTAAATCCTGCCAATTAGAACGTATTTCACAAAGGCATTCGACGCATACAAATTGGCAATTCAAGATGAGGGGCAGACAGACCTGAAGGCATATGATAACATCCCATACCATTATGTCCCGTTCCATGCCGACACCTCCTGCCCCCGGCACTCGTTCCCCCCTTTCCCCCCAACCTCCAGTGGTTACCGCGTTGGCCCGCGCAGGCTGGTGGGCGTGGGGGTGGTCCCGCGGGCCATGAAAGGCCGTCTCTTCGCCACGCACTGCAGGTGAGGGGCAGAGAGGGGGGAGGACGCGCAGCACAGGGATAAGGGGAAAAAGCGCACTGGGTAATGGGCTTCAGGGTAGGGGTAGGAGCTTTAGGGAAGAGACAGGTTTGCTGGGAATTCTCAAAGGTGGGCATGGGGGTGGTGTTTGGCCACGAGGAAGCGCCTGGCCACCACACACTGCAGATGAGCGCTGTGGCACACGGGGGGAGGGAGCACAGGGGGAGGGCGCAAAAGGGGAGGGCGTACAGGGTGAGGGCGCACAGAGGAAGGGCTACATACAGCGGGAGGGCGCACATGGGGAGGGCGCGCAGGGGGGGGGCACACAGGTGGAGGGCACACAGGGGGCTCACAGGAACAGGTGCGCTGGTCCCACCACCGCCCTCTTTCCCTGCCCCTCACTCTCCGCTCTTCCCTGTCACTGCTGCCACCCCCAACACCTGCTTCTCACTGCTCATTTGCCTTGACCCCCTTCTCTCCCTCCACGCCCTTTACAGTTTGCCCCTTGCCTTCAAAATCCCCTACTCTTTTGATGCCTATTCACCTATCCCTCCCCACCTTCACAGGTGAACGCATCCTACTCACTCATTCGCCCATTCCTCTCCCACTCGGCCACTCCTCCCTTCTCGCAGGTGGTTCGGACCTGCACAGTTGGCGCTGGACTGCACGGTGAACGTGTCCTACTCGCTGGGGCAGCAGGGGTCCGCCTCGCAGCACATGGAGGCCGTTGTCGAGGCCGCCTTTAGCGAGGACGTGCCCAACACAGGGGGCTTCCTGGCTGTGCGCATTGAAGGGACTGACTTTGTGCTCTACAGGTGAGTGTGAGAGTGGTGGGTGTGACAGTGGCGGGTGGGACAGTGGTGGGTGTGGCAGTGGTGGGTGTGACAGTGGTGGGTGTGACAGTGGGTGGGTGACAATGGTGGGTGTGACAGTGGGTGGGTGACAATGGTGGGTGTGGCAATTGTGGGTGTGATAGCGGTGACCATGAGTGGAGAAAGAGAGGTGGTGCTTGAGTTTCACTGGCAACTGGAAGGCCTTGCATACGTGCCCTTCACCCCTATCATCTCATCCTCCCTGGAGTTCCTGTTTTCTAGTTCCCTGTTCTTCTCACCTCACCCACATCTCTCCTCCCTCCACCACTTCCTTCCCTCTCCAATACCTCCCTCCACCACCCTAAACCCTGCACGCTCCACCCTACGTCTTCCCTTCCCCCGCCCCACCAGGGAAGCCCCTCAGACATTCACGACCCCAGGTCTCCCCTTCCCCTTCCACTTGGTACCCTGTATCCTCCCCTTGGCGCGCAACCCGTCGGTGCCGGTGCATCTGCTGCGCGAGGCGGTGGAGTACCACCCCTCAACTCCAAACCTCTCCTGCACCTCTTCCCCTTCCCCCATACCTCCCTTGCACGCCCTCCCCATTCTGCCCCACAACCACTCTTCCCCCTCTCCCCCCCCCTTCCCCCCACCAGGGAAGCCCCTCTGGCCTTCCCCACAACAACCCCAGGTCTCCCCTTCCCCTTCCACTCGGTGCTGTGCCTGCTCCCATCGGCGCGCAATGCATCGGTGCCCGTGCATCTGCTGCGCGAGGCGGTGGAGTACCATCGGCTGCTGGGCGCCGCCGTGGTGGCGCTGTACGACAGCGGCGGGTGGCTCGCCGTGGAGCTGCAGGAGCGCTTCCATGAGGACTTTGAGCGGAGAGTGGTGCGCCGCACAGACTTCAGTGGTGCCAAGCAGTTCGATTTGGAGAGGAATGGGCAGGTGTGCGCAACAACGCTTGCACGTGTTTTTGCATGTATACGCACATACACAGTGTGCTTCCCTCTCCATCCTCTCCCTTTCCACCCTCCCCACCTTCACCTGGTGCTGACCATGTATGTCTCTGTGCACCGCCATGCCTTTGCGGCCCTTCCCCCTTCCACCCCTTTCCCCAGCCACCCTTCCACATCTTTCCCCTGTCACCCCCTTCCACCCCTTTCACCTGCCATCCCCACCACCCCCCTTCCCGCCTGGCCCCCAACCAGGTGCTAGCGATGCACGACTGTGTGCAGCGCCACGCCTTCACAGCCCGCTGGGTCATCCCAGCCGCCATCAACGAGTTCCTCTTCGTCGGCCTGCCGCCCGCCTCCATCCCCTCCTTCCTTGATCCCTTCGCCTACCCCACCACCTCCTCCTCCGAAACCGCCCTCTCAGACCCCCTCGTTGATTCCGCCGCCACCGCCGCCGCTGCTGCAGTAACCGCATCTGGAGGCTCGGCGGCCGCGGCCGCCGAAGCTGCGGCGTACGTGCGGGCGGTGCCGTGGGTGAGCGTGGGCAGCCAGTGGTGGTCGACGCGGCTGTGCTCGCTGCCGTTCCGCGTGCCCGAGGGCGAGGCGTTCTCGATGGAGCGCATGGTGTTCCGCTGGCCGTACCCCGTCTGCCACGACCGCATCCGCTTCCCCGACCCCCACCTCTGTCCCGGGGAGGCTGGCTTCCGCCGCCTTATCATGGATCCACGCAAGGTGCGATGGGTTGCGGGGAAAGGGGGGGTAGTGAAGTGGTTAATGGTAGGCATGAGGAAGCCCTCGCGGATCGGGCCTGCAGAGCTAGACTACGATGAAGGCACGGGTTGTGTGAGTGATCGTATCGTTCCTTAGCGTTCTCCCTACTTGCGCAATTGGCAAAAGTTTCACTATGGAAAGTTGCATTTCATAATGAATGAACAAACAATGGCAAGAATGATTACATCAGAGCCTAGCAGGTTAGCAACCTAACAGGCAAGCTGGTTGACACCATCGCAACAAAGTCGACAGTCTATCAGCGTTGCGTAGAGGAGCGACCTGCCAACAGCGCAAGTCGGCGGCTCGCCAATGCTGCACCAGCGCGGCTTGCCAACGCTGCCGTAGAGCGGTCTGCCGGCGTAGCGTCCGCTGATGACAATAGCGCATATGCGCACCCACTTCGCAGGTGCGCGGCGAACCAGCCCGAGGTCGCCTTCGTCATCGCAGCCTCGACGAGCCTCGCGTGCCTCCGCAGAACCTCGTCGAGGAGGTTACTCGGTGCGCGGTCGACCATCCGGCGCCCTGGTCGACGACCTCCCTCGTCGACCACCATGCCCGTCGAAGTCCACCCTGGTTGACGGAGGGGTCCGTCCGTCGATCAGCTCGGTCCGTTGCTGCCGTCAAACTCCCACCGTCGATGGCCCTTTTGACAGTCCCGCGTAGGTTGACAACCACCTTCGTCGACCACACCCAAGGCAGGTCGACGAACCCCTTCGTCGACCACGCCAGTCGAAATCTGCCGCCGGCTTTCCGTCGTCAGCGGCTTTGCAGCAGTCATCTGCAGGTCGACCAACTCTGTCGACCTGCACGCGTCGATCTCTGCGGATGGTCGGCTGCACCTCCCGCTCACCCGACCACTACGTCAGCTTCACTCAAACGAGGGTGGGGCCAACATCCTATTCCCGTCAACCCTCCCCTGCCGCGCACACGCTTGGGCACCCAACCCACACGGCAGAACTGTACGGAGAAAACCCGTCGTCAGCGTGCACCCAACACAGAGCACGCCGTCACCGCACCAGCTGTGCAGAAGGGCACGGCATTTATTGCTGCACGTCGTCATCACCGTCCCGACGTCGGTCAGACGCACTTGGCTGATTCCGACGGAGGACCAGTTGAATATTGGAAAGTTCATCGCCTTCATCAGGAAGTCGGCCGGCTGCTCGGAAGTCGGGATATCACTTGAGTACGAACTTCCCGCGCTTCACCATCTGCTGCAGCTAGGCATATCGCCGCTCCATGTGCTTGAAGTTGCCCTTCAACCCCAAGCCCTCAGCGACCGTGATGGCCGACTTGTTGTCCACCCGAAAGACGTCGGCGTCTCAGCGTCGCGCAGCCAGAACTCTGCATGGAGGAAACGAAGTCGACGAGCCTCCTTGCCGGCTTCAGTGGCCGCAAAGTACCCCGACTGTGTTGACGAGAACGTCGCGCACTTAATGCGCCGGCTCGACCAGGAGACAACGGCCCCTCCGAAGACGAACACGTAGCCGCTCGTGCTCGTCCGGTTCTGCTTGTCGGTGGCGTCGTCGACGTCCACGTAGCCGACCAGACACAGCGACAATGGTCCACCGTCGAACTCCGGGGCGGTATCATGGGTGTCGACGAGGTAGGCGAGGCAGCGGTCGACCTCGTGTCATTGCTGGTCGCTCCTCACCGTTGGGCCGTTCCCCACTTGCTGCATGCGAAAACGATGTCCGGCCTCGTCGTCGCCGCTGCAAACTGCAGCGAGCCGACTTTCTGCCAGTACTCCTCTTCCTCACGCTCCTGGGCCTCCTCGTCGTCAAACGTCAGCTCAGCGTAGGCGTCGATAGGGATCGGCGTCTTCGGGATCCGTCCGGTCTGCTCCTCGTCGATGAAACGCCTGCACAGCTTGTCGATGTACGACTGCTGGTGCAGCCACAGCTTCCTCGCGGGTGAGTCGCGCACGATCTCGAGCCCAAGGTACTTCTCGACCAGGCTGATCTCGCGCAGCTCAATAGCTCCTTCAGCTCCTTCAGCATCACGAGACTGCTGCTAGCGGCGAGCAGGTCGTCGACGTAGACGAGCACGTAGCACGTCACTCCGTCCCACCACCTTTCTTACCTCCGTCTCCCGCCATGCGCGTCCGCACCACCTTCCCCCTTCCTTCTCTTCTCCATTCCTCCGTTCCCCGCCCACCTCTGCCCCAACTTCCCCCCTCTCTACACGTCTCACAGATTTCAGCGCTGGGGCTGCACGAGGCAGAGTCGGCATCGCGGGTGAGGGGGGTGCACGTGAGGAGCACCAAGGCCAACTTCAACCACCTGCAGGACGCTGTCATGGACCCCACCGCGTGGTGCGAGCACACGCTGCTCAAGAACGAGGTAAGTCGCCCCACAGCACTGCCGGGTAAATGTGGTGGTAACCAGTCCGCAAGAAGGCAGCCCAGTCCGCCCCTCCTTCATTGCGCTGCTTACGCTCCTACTTGTCTGCCTGTGTGGTGCTCTTCTGTCATGCTCTGCTGTGTGCTGAATGCACTGGCTTGGCCTGACTTGGTGTGGACTGCTGTTGTGTGGCATGGCGGGGCATGGTATGGCATGGTACGGCATGGCGTGGATAACATGGCATGGCATAGCATGGCACGGCATGGCATGGCATGGCATGGCATGGCATGGCATGGCATAGCATGGCATGGCATGGCATGGCATGGCATGGCATGGCATGGCATGGCACGGCACGGCACGACATGGCACGGCACGGCACGGCATGGCGTGGCATGGCACGGCATGGCATGGGCAGGTGCCGGAGTTCTATGTGCGAGACGTCTATCTGCGGGAGGCAGCCCAGTCGGTGCGGGCAGGGCGAGTCTGCGACTTCACCAGAGGCCGAGTCAGTCCCTCCCAGACCTGCTCCCCCTCCCTGCTCGCCCTCCCAGCTCCCCCTCCCTGCTCTACCTCCCTGCTCTCCCTCCCTGCTCTCCCTCCCTGCTCTACCTCCCTGCTCTCCCTCCCTGCTCTCACTCCCTGCTCTCCCTCCCTGCTCTCCCTCCCTTCTCTCCCTCCCTGCTCTCCCTCCCTGCTCTCACTCCCTGCTCTCCCTCCCTGCTCGCCCTCTCTGCTCTCCCTCCCTGCTCTCCCTCCCTGCTCTCACTCCCTGCTCTCCCTCCCTGCTCTCCCTCCCTGCTCTCACTCCCTGCTCTCCCTCCCTGCTCTCCCTCCCTGCTCGCCCTCTCTGCTCTCCCTCCCTGCTCTCCCTCCCTGCTCTCACTCCCTGCTCTCCCTCCCTGCTCTACCTCCCTGCTCTCCCTCCCTGCTCTCACTCCCTGCTCTACCTCCCTGCTCTCCCACCCTGCTCTCCCTCCCTGCTCTCACTCCCTGCTCTCCCTCCCTGCTCTCACTCCCTGCTCTCCCTCCCTGCTCTCCTTTCCTGCTCGCCCTCTCTGCTCTCCCTCCCTGCTCTCCCTCCCTGCTCTCACTCCCTGCTCTCCCTCCCTGCTCTACCTCCCTGCTCTCCCTCCCTTATCTCCCTCCCTGCTCTCACTCCCTGCTCTCCCTCCCTGCTCTCCCTCCCTGCTCGCCCTCTCTGCTCTCCCTCCCTGCTCTCCCTCCCTGCTCTCACTCCCTGCTCTCACTCCCTGCTCTCCCTCTCTGCTCTCCCTCCCTGCTCTCACTCCCTGCTCTCCCTCCCTGCTCTCCCTCCCTGCTCGCCCTCTCTGCTCTCCCTCCCTGCTCTCCCTCCCTGCTCTCTCTCTCTGCTCTCCCTCCCTGCTCTCCCTCCCTGCTCGCCCTCTCTGCTCTCCCTCCCTGCTCTCCCTCCCTGCTCTCACTCCCTGCTCTCCCTCCCTGCTCTACCTCCCTGCTCTCCCTCCCTGCTCTCACTCCCTGCTCTACCTCCCTGCTCTCCCTCCCTGCTCTCACTCCCTGCTCTCCCTCCCTGCTCTCACTCCCTGCTCTCCCTCCCTGCTCTCCCTCCCTGCTCGCCCTCTCTGCTCTCCCTCCCTGCTCTCCCTCCCTGCTCTCACTCCCTGCTCTCCCTCCCTGCTCTACCTCCCTGCTCTCCCTCCCTGCTCTCACTCCCTGCTCTCCCTCCCTGCTCTCCCTCCCTGCTCGCCCTCTCTGCTCTCCCTCCCTGCTCTCCCTCCCTGCTCTCCCTCCCTGCTCTCCCTCCCTGCTCTCACTCCCTGCTCTCCCTCCCTGCTCGCCCTCTCTGCTCTCCCTCCCTGCTCTCCCTCCCTGCTCTCACTCCCTGCTCTCCCTCCCTGCTCTACCTCCCTTCTCTCCCTCCCTGCTCTCACTCCCTGCTCTCCCTCCCTGCTCTCCCTCCCTGTTCGCCCTCTCTGCTCTCCCTCCCTGCTCTCCCTCCCTGCTCTCACTCCCTGCTCTCCCTCCCTGCTCTCCCTCCCTGCTCTCACTCCCTGCTCTCCCTCCCTGCTCTCCCTCCCTGCTCGCCCTCTCTGCTCTCCCTCCCTGCTCTCCCTCCCTGCTCTCACTCCCTGCTCTCCCTCCCTGCTCTACCTCCCTGCTCTCCCTCCCTGCTCTCACTCCCTGCTCTCCCTCCCTGCTCTCCCTCCCTGCTCGCCCTCTCTGCTCTCCCTCCCTGCTCTCCCTCCCTGCTCTCCCTCCCTGCTCTCCCTCCCTGCTCTCACTCCCTGCTCTCACTCCCTGCTCTCCCTCCCTGCTCGCCCTCTCTGCTCTCCCTCCCTGCTCTCCCTCCCTGCTCTCACTCCCTGCTCTCCCTCCCTGCTCTACCTCCCTTCTCTCCCTCCCTGCTCTCACTCCCTGCTCTCCCTCCCTGCTCTCCCTCCCTGCTCGCCCTCTCTGCTCTCCCTCCCTGCTCTCCCTCCCTGCTCTCACTCCCTGCTCTCCCTCCCTGCTCTCCCTCCCTGCTCGCCCTCTCTGCTCTCCCTCCCTGCTCTCCCTCCCTGCTCTCACTCCCTCCTCTACCTCCCTGCTCTTCCTCCCTTCTCTCCCTCCCTGCTCTCACTCCCTGCTCTCCCTCCCTGCTCGCCCTCTCTGCTCTCCCTCCCTGCTCTCCCTCCCTGCTCTCCCTCCCTGCTCTCCTTCCCTGCTCTCACTCCCTGCTCTCCCTCCCTGCTATCCCTCCCTGCTCGCCCTCTCTGCTCTCCCTTTCTGCTCTCCCTCCCTGCTCTCCCTCCCTGCTCTCCCTCCCTGCTCGCCCTCTCTGCTCTCCCTCCCTGCTCTCCCGCCCTGCTCTCACTCCCTGCTCTCCCTCCCTGCTCTCCCTCCCTGCTCTCACTCCCTGCTCTTCCTCCCTGCTCGCCCTCTCTGCTCTCCCTCCCTGCTCTCCCTCCCTGCTCTCACTCCCTGCTCTCCCTCCCTGCTCTACCTCCCTTCTCTCCCTCCCTGCTCTCACTCCCTGCTCTCCCTCCCTGCTCTCCCTCCCTGCTCGCCCTCTCTGCTCTCCCTCCCTGCTCTCCCTCCCTGCTCTCACTCCCTGCTCTCCCTCCCTGCTCTCCCTCCCTGCTCTCACTCCCTGCTCTCCCTCCCTGCTCTCCCTCCCTGCTCGCCCTCTCTGCTCTCCCTCCCTGCTCTCCCTCCCTGCTCTCACTCCCTGCTCTCCCTCCCTGCTCTCCCTCCCTGCTCGCCCTCTCTGCTCTCCCTCCCTGCTCTCCCTCCCTGCTCTCACTCCCTGCTCTCCCTCCCTGCTCTACCTCCCTTCTCTCCCTCCCTGCTCTCACTCCCTGCTCTCCCTCCCTGCTCTCCCTCCCTGCTCGCCCTCTCTGCTCTCCCTCCCTGCTCTCCCTCCCTGCTCTCACTCCCTGCTCTCCCTCCCTGCTCTCCCTCCCTGCTCTCACTCCCTGCTCTCCCTCCCTGCTCTCCCTCCCTGCTCGCCCTCTCTGCTCTCCCTCCCTGCTCTCCCTCCCTGCTCTCACTCCCTGCTCTCCCTCCCTGCTCTCCCTCCCTGCTCGCCCTCTCTGCTCTCCCTCCCTGCTCTCCCTCCCTGCTCTCACTCCCTGCTCTCCCTCCCTGCTCTACCTCCCTGCTCTCCCTCCCTGCTCTCACTCCCTGCTCTCCCTCCCTGCTCTCCCTCCCTGCTCGCCCTCTCTGCTCTCCCTCCCTGCTCTCCCTCCCTGCTCTCCCTCCCTGCTCTCCCTCCCTGCTCGCCCTCTCTGCTCTCCCTCCCTGCTCTCCCTCCCTGCTCTCACTCCCTGCTCTCCTTCCCTGCTCTACCTCCCTGCTCTCCCTCCCTGCTCTCACTCCCTGCTCTCCCTCCCTGCTCTCCCTCCCTGCTCGCCCTCTCTGCTCTCCCTCCCTGCTCTCCCTCCCTGCTCTCCCTCCCTGCTCGCCCTCTCTGCTCTCCCTCCCTGCTCTCCCTCCCTGCTTTCCCTCCTTGTGCTGTACTCCTTGTTGGACTTTTCGTGATTTCTTGTGTGTCGTCTCGCTGCATTGCCGCACTCTGCGTGCCTAATGCCTTCCACCTCCTTGCGTGCTTAGATTGGCCGCCATATGTCAGCACAGGGGAGATAGGAGCACACATGGGTGCATGGCAGCATACATGGGGGCATAGGAGCACACAGGGGGCATGGGAGCACACATGGGGGCATGGGAGCACACAGGGGGCATGGGAGCACACATGGGGGCATAGGAGCACACAGGGGGCATAGGAGCACACATGGGGGCATGGGAGCACACATGGGGGCATGGGAGCACACATGGGGGCATGGGAGCACACATGGGGGCATAGGAGCACACATGGGGGCATGGGAGCACACATGGGGGCATGGGAGCACACATGGGGGCATGGGAGCACACAGGGGGCATGGGAGCACACATGGGGGCATAGGAGCACACAGGGGGCATGGGAGCACACATGGGGGCATGGGAGCACACATGGGGGCATAGGAGCACACAGGGGGCATGGGAGCACACATGGGGGCATAGGAGCACACATGGGGCATGGCAGCACACATGGGGGCATAGGAGCACACAGGGGGCATGGGAGCACACATGGGGGCATGGGAGCACACATGGGGGCATGGGAGCACACATGGGGGCATGGGAGCACACATGGGGGCATGGGAGCACTCATTGGTTACAGTCACACATATCCATGGGTCACGTGTTCATCCCTCCCAACCCTCTCTTGTGGTGCATGCATTGCCATGTGCCCCCCTACAGTGTGTCCCTGGCCCGGACTAGATCGCTCTGCAAAGCCACAACGCAAGGCCGGGTGTAGAACGCTGCTAAGAACCACGACGCTTCTCCAACTTGCTTATGAGAACTCTCGACAACGCTGCTTCCTTTTGCCCACTGGGCAGCACTCTCGTGGGTGGCAAGGAGGTGGCGTAATGGGGTGCATCGGACCAGATTGGTTGAGCACAGCAAGTGCTGGAGCAGCACACATGCACTCTAGCAGCACACAGCACACATGCACTCTAGCAGCACACA